CTGGTGCTGTGCAGTCCGGTGAAAGGTGGAATCTGGCCAGCAATGCCTATGCCCATATGCACTTGAAGTTTGCATCCCACAGGCAGCCTTAAGCCCTGAGACCCCCCACCCTTCTGTCTTGGTGGAGCCGCTTCCCTGCAATCCCTGGCACTGTTGGCGAGTGCTTGCCATGACCTGTGCCTATGTGGACTCTGCTGCACTGGCAGGTTGGTGATGCTGAGTCCAGACAGCATCTGGGTGGACGGTGCAGTTTCCTCTCTTCTCTTGGGCGTCTGTGTGTGCTGAGTCAGGCTCTTAGGGAGTTACCTTTGATTTTCTTCTTCCCCTTCTTCGCCCATCTAGTGTCCCTCAGAATCCAGCCCTGTGCCTCCTGCTGTTGGAGATTTTCACAGAAAGCTTAGTAATGACCCTTTATCACCTCATCTAGTACATTTTGCGTTTTTTCCTTTTTAAAAATGAAGATGTGCAAGAATGTTTTTCTGGTGTTCCTGACTTCAATGGTCAAAATTACCAGTGTGAAGAAATAGGAAAATTTCAGTTTGCTTCATATTTTCTTGATTGAAGTGATAAGATTTATGTTGAAAATTGGAATTTTGAAAGTTGTTCTGACTTTTGCTGAATGTCAAAAGTGCCAGGGTCTTGTGCTGAGCTTCGTAGACTTGGAATTGCATTTGCTTCTGCTACTGGTTTGCTTGTAGGAAGAGGTTTGAGACACAAGGTATCGGGAGTGAAAAGTGTGCTTTCCACCTGCTGGAGAAAAAGTGTCTTATTTGCATGCTGGCTTGAGTGTGCTGCACACCCATAATATATTTATTGCCCTAGAACTCGCCATGTTCATCAGCCTAGCTTTAGACTCAGAGAATACTGTTCTAAAGAGTTAATTCTGTGATTCAAGGCCTGCATCACCAACCCTGTTTTTGTTTTTGTTGTTGTTGGTAGTAGTGGTGGTGGTGGTGGTGTTTTACACAGTGACCCTTGTCCATTGTGCTCCTGCAGTCCGCATGTCATTTACAGCTAAGCACAGTCCTGAAACTTGATTCTCCAAACGCCTGTCTTCCTCCCCACACTGTGTTCACCTTCTCAGTCCTGCTGTGGCCACCGCTGTCCTCGCACACCACAGGCAGCTGCTATGGCTGTCGCACCCCACCTACCCAGAGAGCTCACGGAACCTTTCTCATGCCCTCCACGACACTCAGTCCAGCTGTGGATCATACAGGGAAAGGTTAACGGGGGAATACTTATGAAGAAAACCAGGCAGCCTTTGATGCCATGTGCTACAGACACCTGGCTCAACAGAATTGCATTCCCAGGTGTGTCAAGTTGCTAGCAAATTTCCCTTCAGTATCGTTCCTTTTAGAGACAGTTCCAGTGGGTTTATGTGCCACATTTCCATTACGTGGACATCAGCTGATGGGCCTCCCTGCTGATTCTCTTTGTAGCTATTGGAGCTAGAGCAGCAATGTACATGGGTGTTCATGTACTGCGGCAGTATATGGACTATTTTTATTATGTATATCATGTTTTTGCGTTTGACTCAACCTCACACTGGTTTGCTTGCTAATTTCAGCAGTTTAATCCATCGGCATTTACTTTTCCACTCACCATTGTAAGGGTTTGAGGTCTTCAGGCTTGCATGGCAAGCTTTTCACCAGCTTACCTGTGCTCTAGCCCTATGGACTTCTGTCTTATTGCTTTATTAATAAAAAGCCACAAAACCTTTTACATATGTTTACTTGGGAATTTTCTATATGTAAGTGATATATTTTAATATTTAATCCTTACATCCCCAGCACACCCATTCTTAATTTTATGTGTCTTTTAAAAATTACTTATTTTTGTGTATGTACATTTGTGTTTTACCTACAGTGTGTCTGTGTGAGGTTACTCGGCCCCACACATCTGGAGTTGCAGGCAGTTTTGAGTTGCCATGTGGGTGCTGGGGATTGCCACCGGTCTTCTGGAAGAGTAGTTCATGCTCTTACCTGCTGAGCCATTTCTACAGCCCTGTGCTTTTTGTGTTTCTTAACCACTGAGTTCAGTTAGTGCTGTACAAATGTGCGTGGTCATCCTTAGAGTAAGGACAATATGTTAGTGACCACATTCCTGAAGGTAATAAGTGTGTATACTCCCAAAGCCTTCAGTTGCCAATACCTTCTTAACTTGGGGTGGCCTTCTTAAGGACCAATTTCATTCTGCCCAGACTTTTGACTGACATGATCTCATGTTTTGAGAATTTTAGAATTTATTTTATGCATGTTTTCCAAAAGGTTTTTTTAATATTCACCTGTTAATTTTCTTTCTCTTTATTATTTTATTTTTTACGTACCAATCCCAGTTCACCCTCCCTCCTCTCCTTCTTCTTTCCCTCACTCCTTCCTTCTTCCCATCTGCTCCACGGGGAGGGTAACACCTTCCCCAGGAAGTCTACTAAGTCTGTCCCATCATCTCCTGGAGGCAGGATGAAGGCACTTCCCGACTCCCACCCTCCTGTGTCTAGGCTGGGCAAAGTATTTCTCCATAAAGAATGGACTCCACTAAGTCAGTTTGTACATTAGTGTCAGATCTTGGACCCACTGCCAGTGACCTCATATATTGTCCCAGGCCCACAATTATCGCCTATATTAAGGGAGTCTAGTTCCTTATACAGGTTCCCCCTTGATCAGACCCGACTCAGTGATCTCTCACAAGCTCGGGTCAGCTATTCATTGTGGACTTCTGCCTCTGCTTCCATCTGTTTCTGGAAGAGTGTTCAAACTTCTCTGGGGTAATGGATTGTGGGCTAGGTGTCTTTTTTTTTTTTTTTTCCGAGGCAGGATTTCTCAGTATTGTTTTGGAGGCAGTCCTAGAACTCGCTCTGTAGACCAGGCTGGTCTCAAACTCTGCCTCTCGAGTGCTGGGATTAAAGGCGTGCGCCACCACCGTCCAGCTTGGGCTAGGTGTCTTTTGCTTTATGTCTGCTATCCATTTATGAGTGAGTTCATACTACATTTGTCTTTCTGGTTTTGGTCTACCTCACTTAGAATGTTTTTTTCCAGTTTTGTCCATTTGTCTGTGAATTTTAAGATGTCATTGTTTCTTATCACTGAGTAGTACTCCATCTTGTAAAGACCACATTGTCTTTATCCATTCTTCAGATGAGGGACATCTAAGCTGTTTCCATGATATGGCTATTATGAATAATGCTGCTATGAACATAGTTGGTCAAATGTCCATATAGTGTGACTGTTCCTCCTTTGGGTATATGACCAACAGTGGTACTGCAGGGTCTTTTTTTTTTTGATTTTTTTTTTATATTTTATTTTCCAGTTTAAATTTAGATAAGAAACAAGGTTGCTTCACAAGTCAGTTCCAGGTCCCTCTCCCATTCCCTCCCCTCTTCTCGTGCCCTCCCCCCAACCCCCCCTCCCGTTATCCCCTCATTCCCCCAGGGAGGGTGAGGCCCTCCATGGGGGTGTCCATAGTCTGTCATTTCATATAGGGCAGGGCCTAGACCCTTCCCCAAGAGTTCAGGGTGAGAGTGCATCTCACATTGTTCTATGGGAGTCCAAAGTCTGTGTGTATACTTGGGATGGTCTTGAGGTAGGATGATCCCTAATTTTCTGAGAAATCACCATGCTGATTTCCACAGCAGCTGTATCCAAAAGGTTTTGGACATAATAGTTACTAAAAGAACTAGCTTGTTGCTACTTTTAAAGCACGTACAGAAACAGCCCACTAAAGTTTATTCCAGGAGTGATGCCCGCAGGTTGCTGGGTGCAGTGCAGAGAGGACCGTGTGCAGAGCCCACATCCAGTCGTGGTCCAGGTTGCTCAGTTTCCGTGTTGCTTGCTCACTCCTGTCACAGGGCATTGTACTTAGCTTCCTGTGAGTTCCACCCGCTCCCTCTGTGTCAAATGTCAGCTTGTCACATCCTTGCCTCCACTGCGGGACTTCAAAGTCTTTACATTTAAGATCATTTCAGGTTCTCTGATGTAGGACACAGTGACGCTATGTTCTTGATTATAGTAACACAGGAATGGCCTAGTTTCTGAAACTGCCTGATCCATGTCTCCCGTCTAGACATTTCTTTCAGTACTTTTGTCTTTGAAGCAACTACTAGAATGACACATGCATCCTTGTGTTCAAAATAGTCCCAATTTTGTATCAATATACAAAAATTCCAAGTAAATGTAAAATATTTAAAAGTAGTTGCGTTTTTAGTTTAAAAGTAGATTCAATACCATTTTTTTACATTTGTATAGCCTTTTTTCTTTTTACAATTGATTTAATAATCCACCCACATATCCTATCTTATCTGCATCCCCTTCTTGTTTCAAAAGATGAACTCTGAATCTAATCTGCTTTACTCAACTGTTTTTTTCCTGAATGTTATCAATGACAACTTATAACCAATAACCCTAAACAAAGGCAGATATCCACTACTCATATAATGGCCAAAAATCACCCACCCCACCTATTGGGAATGTGGCTGTCATATTCTTAAATTACTTCCTGCTGTCTTGTGGTAAAGGGTGTGTATCATTGACAAATGCAGAACTGTGAAGCTGCTAGTGACCGTACACACAATCAGGAAGAGAGTAATGTCCAGCTGTGTCTGTCTTAGGTCTCCCCTTCATTAGCATAACTCCTATAGAGTTCACAAAATGTTGCCTCTCAAGTTGGAGTGTGTATTGTTTTGAATTTGTTCCAGGTATATGCCTGTCTGCTTCCCACCATGAAAATCATTGAGTAAACCTCTAGAAGTGTAAGCAGTGTCCCCCTAGATGCTTTCTTTTATACTAGTTGCTTGGTCATGATGGTTCTTAAGGGCAGTTGAGTAGTAATTGAGACAATGGGTCTCCTTTATTACATCAAGTAATGAAGATAGCATCCCACAGATATTAAGTCACTCCTATTTACATGAAAATTTAGAGGTGTTTTCAGGAAATTATATGCTAGATGATTCTGTATCCTCTCAGTCTGGCAGTTATAACTAACCATCCTGATATGTGCACCCTTAGGAGAAAGTGACCTTTGAGGATGTGGTTGTGAACTTCACCTCAGGAGAGTGGGCTTTGTTGGATTCTAGTCAGAAGAAGCTCTTCAGAGATGTGATGAAGGAGACATTATTGAACCTGATCTCCATAGGTAAAACCCCAGCATGTTCCCATTGTTCATTTAATCAGACAACATCCATGTTTCACATATGTGTGTACCATTGGTATTTGAATTCTTGAAGGGACTTTGTGGTAAATATGGTGTGAAAACCCTTGTCAAAAGAGATAGGGTATAATACTTTTTATGTTGAATATAAATATGTCATACTGTATTCTCTGGATTTTCTTTTAGAAGAAGCAGTAGAAGAAAAAATTGAAGAGGACTGCAAAGACCTCAGCATTAACATGGGGTAATTCATATTCAAAGGAATGGAATTGATGTCACATATCTACACATCATAGGACAACTGATCCTACCAAAATATCTAAATAAAGTTAAATGAATAATGTTCTCTACACAAATTTCTATAATAGAGCATTGGATTGTGCCATTCAGTATTTGAGTATCTCATCTTTGTAACATATTAACATCACAAATGTGTCATGTAACATTAACCTCTGAAAGAACTTTATCAGTGGTTTACTCCACATGAACTTCAAAAGTATTTGCCATCTTTCTATACAATATAAGTGCTGTGATTTTTGCTTTCATTTGCGCTGACAAAAAAAAAAACCTCTGGGGTGGAGCTTATTTTTACTTACCCAATCTTGTCAGAGTCCCATTATGAAGGGAAGTCAGGACAGGAACTCAAGGGGGTCAAGAACCTGTAGTCAGCAACTGACACAGAGGTGATGGAGAAATGCTGCTTACCAGGGTGCTCCTCATCCCTGCCTCAGCTCCCTGCCTCATACAACCCTTGCCTACCTGTCTAGGGGGTTACCACACACAGGGGCCTGAATTATGTCTTCTCAATCACAGACCAAGAAAATGCTGTCACACAAGCCGAAAGGTCAACCTGATAAACTGCTGACTCCTTTCTGGTTCCCTTTTCTCAGATGTGTGTCCCTGTTTGTGTCACTTTGAATAAAGTAACCCGCAGATACCTTTCCTACATAGCTCATGCCCTCTTGCCCAAGGCCACAATGCACATCATAGTGTGAGCATCCTTCACCAATGAGGAATGTAAAAATGCTCCCTTAATCTCATTTACAAGTCAGTCTGAGTCATTTTCTTCTTTGAGGGAACCCATTCTCTGATGGCCCTAGATGCATGCAGTTCATAACTAACAACCAACACTGGCTTAGAATTCTGAATGTCAAAACGTCACAGTGTTTCCCCACTTTGTCTGACTGTATGATTGTCTACTAACACCACAACTTTTGCCTTCATGTTCGATCTTTTCATGCATATAAATTGCTTTGCACCTGGACATGTGTATCTATGTACACAATGCTTGTGCTAAAAACCTTTTTAAATGGCAGAAGACTAAAAGAGGCAAGATATCCTTCAGACCATGAGTAACAGGAACTGGTGTGCCCTCCAAGCTTGCCGGTCATCAAAGTCTGCATTACTGAAAAGCAAAAAAATTTTTAGCCTCCAAATCGTGATCCAACTTCTTAATTCTAATAGAAGTAAATTCAACACTCTACTTCTTTACATATGACAGAGTCTTTACATATGGTCTCCATTGCCCTTCACAGGGAATGTGTTCTTGTGGTGTCTCTAGGATAATATTATTTTGGCAGTGCATAAGCCAGCCTCCACCATTTCCCATGGCTACAGTAATTCTCTCCTCATTTTTGCAGGACTCAAGCGATTGATAAAGACTGTGGATATGCATGTGACTATGAGTGTGATAAAAACCAGGAACATATTACTGAGAATATCGTCAATAAAGACTTTCATCCTGGAGAAAGAGTATGTGAAAGCCCACTGCATGTAAGAAACATCATTGGTCATTCATCCTCACATGGGTACATCAGAGAACAAAGTACATGGACATCATCTGTACGTAAGAAAGCTACGGCCCAAGCTTTTACACATCAGGAACATTGGAAAAATATCCATCATTCTGAATTACTTCAAGTACTTGAAACTTCTCCCAAGGAGAAACCCTGTGAGAGTCAAGAATATAATGAAGCCTGTAGAAGTCTCAGTTTGGATCAGCCTCAGGAGAGAACTCACACTGGAGTTACACTCAATGACAATGACTTAACGGGATACACATATGTTCAGAACGATGAAGGAATCCATAAAGAAGTGAAACAGTTTGTATGTAAGCTCTGTGAAGAATCCTTCATTGATTCCAGTGACCTTTACAACCATGAAAAAAGTCATATTGGACAGAAAAGTTACAATGGTAGGCAATGTGGCAAAACATTTAAAAATGCAAAACATTTTGAGAATAATAAAGAAACTCATACAAAAGAGACGCCTTATGCTTGTAAGAATTGTCAAAAAACTTTTACAAACTCCAGTCATCTGAAGGAACATATAAGGATTCACACTGGAGAGAAGCCTTATGCTTGTAGGCATTGTGGAAAAGCATTTAACTGCTCCAATAATCTGAACAGACATGAAAGGATTCACACTGGAGTGAAGCCTTATGCATGTAAACATTGTGGAAAAACCTTCACCCAGTCCAATAATCATAAGACTCATGAAAGAACTCATACTGGAGAGAAGCCTTATACTTGTAGGCATTGTGGAAAAGCCTTCAGTGACTCCACTACTCATAAGAATCATGAGAGAACGCACACTGGAGAGAAGCCTCATGCTTGTAAGCATTGTGGAAAAGTCTTCAGCCTGTCCAGTAGTCTTAAGAATCATGAAAGGGTTCACACTGGAGAGAAGCCTTATTCATGCAGGCATTGTGGGAAAGCCTTCAGCCTGTCCAGTAGTCTTAAGAATCATGAAAGGGTTCACACTGGAGAGAAGCCTTATTCATGCAGGCATTGTGGGAAAGCCTTCAGCCTGTCCAGTAGTCTTAAGAATCATGAAAGGGTTCACACTGGAGAGAAGCCTTATTCATGCAGGCATTGTGGGAAAGCCTTCAGCCTGTCCTGTTATCATAAGAAGCATGAAAGGAATCATACTAGATAGAAGCATTATGTACATAAATACTATGAAAAATCTTTTACCGCTTTTACATCCAAACTTGAATGAAAAAAAATCACTGGAGAGAAACAATTTTTGTGTAAAACATGTGGGAAACCATTCAGTCTAGTGATCTTTACAACTGTAAAAATTTTCACTCAAAAGACATGCATTATTCATGTAAGCATTTTGGAAAAGACTTCAGTGACTCCAGTAGTCCCCACAGACATGGAAGTTGTCACACTGAGAGAAACCTCGTGCTTTTTAGCAGTGTAGAAAAGCTTTCAAGCACTCTGGTCAGTAGCCTAATGCTTCTTAGCATTGTGGAAAAGCCTTCTATAGTTCCAATTGGCACAAGGGCAGTAAAAACATTCACACTGGAGAGAAAGCCTTTCTTCATAAGTATCTGGAAAACTGTTTCTTTTTTCTTGGGATTTCATCAAGAATAAAAGGCCTCGCACATGTGAGGAACATTTTCAATGTCAGCATTGTGGAAAAGTCTTGACCAATCAATATTTCTGTGACCCACATGCAAGAATTGACCTTGGAAAGAAGTTTAATGCAAGAGTGCATCTAAGAGCCGGGCGTTGGTGGCGCACGGCTTTAATCCCAGCACTCGGGAGGCAGAGGCAGGCGGATCTCTGTGAATTCCAGGACAGCCTGGTCTACAGAGCGAGTTCCAGGGCAGCCTCCAAAGCCACAGAGAACCCTGTCTCGAAAAACCAAAAAAAAAAAAAAAAAAAAAAAAAAAAGAGTGCATCTAAGTAATGTGCCAAAGCCTTCACCAGTTCCTGCTGCCAGCATGTTCTCAAGAATCCATCCTACAGACAGGCCTTACAGGGGTATGCATTTGGAAAATGTTTTAGCAGCAATACTTCCTCTTATGCCCAAACATTTATTTCACTGGTGCAAGCCTTTATGTTTGAAATGAATGTGGGAAATTGTTAAAAGTGTTTCTAATAAATGAAGTTTTAAGTGATTGTCATTTTCAGTAGAGTCCTTCCGATTTTGTGTGCCCCACTATGGATAATGATCTCACAGTGAAAAGCGTGGCATGTAGAACTTGCCCCACCGTTAGCTGTGTGACACTGATTGGTCGAATTGCTTCAATTGTGAGGTATGAGAGGTGAATGTGAGTGGGGCATGAGATGCATCAGCTAGTGATATTTTATTGCCAGAAACGTGATTATTTCGGTTACCTTCCTGGATCTTACATGGTGGCAGCAAAGAACCATTTCCTGAAAGAGGTCTCCTGATAGTCACATCCACACTTCCAAACGAATACACACACAGAAATACAAATGAGTAAATGATAATATGTTTGTCATAGGGGAGACTTAACTAACAAATGCAGTATTTTAATGTGGAAAGACACATTGTTAGACCTGCAGAAGTTTAACTGTAACTCCCAATATTTTACTATATAAAGGAAGAAATCATTACAATATGTGCAATAATGCCTGTTTTGGTTTTTTGTTTATATGGTTAGTTTTGTTTATTCTTTGGCTTTTTACTTTGTCTAAGGTATTAGATGGAAAATAATTGTAGTGGTGTGTCATATGAGAATGGCCCAATAGTCTTTTTGAAACTTGGTCCCATTGGTGTACAGATTGATGATTAGTTACAGGTTTGGAATTTTGGTGAATATCTGTCCTTGTAATCAAGTTTGAGATTTGGAAAAACACTAATATTCATAGCATATTCTCCCCGCTTCCTGACTGTAGATTACATATGAGCTTCTAGTTGTTTCAGGCAGCCTGCCTTTGCTCTACCATTACAGGCTCCAACCCTCTGTCACTACAAGATCAATATAACACTTCCATTCCAAAGTTGCTTTTGCTTGTTGTGTTTGGTTGCAGCTACAGAAAACAAAATCATAAACACCTTGGGGCTTTCAGAAGAACCAAAACCAGTCCAAAGAAATTTTTGTTGCAAAACTGTGAAAAAGCTGGCAGTCATTATTTTAAAGATTTATTTACTTATCATGTATACACTGTTCTGACTGCATGTATGCCTTCATGCCAGAAGGTTGTTGGGAGCCGCTATTTGATTCAGCTTAATTGAACTCAGGATCTCAGAAAGAAGAGGCCAGTGCTCTTAACCTCTGAGCCATCTCTCCAGCCTGCTGATTGCCATTTTCAATGAGATAACGTTTGTGAAACTTTTTCATTTACTTGGATCATATGTCAGCAAAAATTAAATAGTTTCTGGAATGTATTCCAAAAATTTATAAACAGTTTGAAAGAAGTAATTTCAACCTTTGAGCATATTTATTTCAGGCCCATTCCTATACAGGAGATTTACTTTGCACTGTGCATTTGTTAGGAAGGCAAGATATGGTTTCTTCAGGTTATCTTCTCACTTCTTAAGCTTTGGAGGGCAGGACTGCAAATGAGAGGGAGAGATTTATCTTTCCGAGTCTGGTTAATGTACTTGTTTATTGGCTGATCCGTCTACCATTTTCAATGTAAGATTCCTGTGTTCCAGAATAGTATTCCATTGGTAATTGGGGAATAGGCTAGAGAGGTGACTAGCTGTAAGTGCCTTGAGGGGGAAATATGTGAATATTGTGGAGCAGATTTCTAGTTTGGACTGAAATGATGACAGTCAATACAGGAGAGAGAGAAAGAAGAAATATGTTTGTTTGGTAATGGGTAAGAAGAGTTTATTGTGTAAACACAAAAAATTTTAAGACATGTAAAGTGTAGCTGGGTGTTGGTGGCACACGCCTTTAATCTCAGCACTTGGGAGCCAGAGGCAGGTGGAGCTCTGTGAGTTCGAGGCCAGCCTGGTCTACAGAGCTAGTTCCAGGACAGCCTCCAAAACAATACAGAGAAACCCCGTCTCCAAAAACCAAAAACCAAACCAAACCAAAACAAAAGAAACATGTAAAGTGTATTACATATAATATCTATTATATAATTCATTTTAATGATAGGTACACTCACATAATAACTAATGTAAGTCTGAATACAGGAATATGTGCATACAGATATATACACTCATTATATATGTATAAGTGTACATTTGTATATCTATATTAAATGTATCTATATCACTTAGCTTGGCAACTCCTATCTCCAAAACCGTACATTAATAAAAATACCAGTATAAGGCATGAGAATTGTGTATTCTAGTTGTGATAGTCTACGTAATTCCCTAAATAACTTAAGGTCTTATTCTTTCCTTTGGTCATCTCTGAAAGGTTGAAATTAAGGTATATTTTCTGGAACCCTGGAACACTTGGAAAAGTAGAGCTGTATCTAACACAGAAACTACCTTCCTTTAGTCAAACTGCCAATATAATACGTACTTTGCATGTTGCTGAGTGAGAGAATCAGTGCATAGACGTCCCAAGCTGTGACGTATGTAGTTGTTTGAATGAGAGTGCCCCCATCAATACTCTTTGGGGGCTGGTTTTAAAAGAGTGCTAATTAATCCGGAGCCAGTAATCAGATTCCTCCATAGTGCTTGCCATGGTTTCCTTCAATGATGCTTGGTCAGGAAATACAAGTCTAATTAACCCTTTCTTTGCCTCAGTTGCTTTTGGTCATTGTACTCATAACTGCAACAAAAACCATAGTAAAACACATAGAATGACACAGAAATACTTTTCATGGAATAGTTTTCAATGATATCTGAAAAGTCATCAGTTACGATTTTTTGAAGTTGATACATATTAAAGTGATATGAGAAGGTAAATCACTTTCCTTCTCCTTTCCTCTTGGCATTTATGGAGAGAAGGTTTAGTTTTGGATAATTTATATTTTTTAAGTTTATTTATTATGTATATAGAGCTCTTCCTGCATATAAGCATGCAGGCCAGAAGAGGGCACCAGGTCTCATTATAGATGTTCATGAGCCACCATGTGGTTGCTGGGAATTGAACACAGGGCCTCTGGAAGAACAGTCAGTGCTCTTAACCTCTGAGCCATCTCTCTAGCTGCTTATACTTTCTGTTTTTACCACTGTAAAATATAATCCATGAATACAAGTGGTTTATGGTTTTCCTCATTCTTAGCTCCCTTCAAGTTAGTAGTCATCTGATCCCTGTCTAAATTTGTTGACATGTTCTTAAATTTTTAGTCTTTTTATTGAAGACATGGATTACATGAGTAATACCCAGAGAATTGAAGGACACCATGTGTATTAATCCCTCTGTTGTCCCAATGGTTGGCAATTCTTTTCTCTTACATAAACTGTGACTTAGAGAAACTGTGAGAAGATAGAAGTAAGGTCTAGAAGGGTGTTCTTAGATGGAGCACAGGCTGCAGCATCTCTCACTTGGACACTGACTTTAAAATCCTCAGTGAACAGCAACTGGACAGTGATCAGTGGTTTTTTGTTTTTGTTTTTGTTTTTGTTTTCATATAACTAACTGAGTCCCAAATGCCTACAACTCCAAGGCCAGAGGATCTGACAACTTCTTTCGGTCTCCACAGGAGATAACACTCTCTGGCTGACAGACAATTAAAAACAAAATACAAAATACATATCTTCACAGTAACCTAGTTTTTTCCTCCTATCATTTTCCCTGCTTTCTTGTATTCTCACATTTCTGTTTGAGTTTGTAGATGAAAGCAGATGAGTAAAAGGAGAAAAGGAAAAGAAGGAAGGAAGGAAATATATGTTTCATATAGGGAATTTCCTAGATGTAGGTGATGGAATTCAATTGTATCTGGTCTTTCCACTCAGAAAACCTGAGTGGTCTTTTTCTTTTGTGACTCTCAGGTCCCAGTGTATCCATGGACTCTTTTTTTGTTGTTGTTGTCGTTTTTTGTTTTTGTTTTTTCCTAGACAGCGTTTCTCTGTATTCTTTTGGAGCCTGTCCTGGAGCTAGCTCTGTAGACCAGGCTGACCTCAAACTCACAGAGATCCCACTGCCTCTGCCTCCAAAGTGCTGGGATTAAAGGCATGAGCCACGAACGCCCAGCTCATATCCATGGCTTCTAACACTATTGAAAATACTAATTTTTTTCTCCAAAGCTGTTCATTAGAAAAAAATGGAATTTCTTCTACTTAAGAATCAGCCTAGAGTAAACCAACCAAACAAGCAAGTGCCAATCCCAGGGACATCGTCCCCTTCACAGGGATCACCAAGGGCGAGTCTGGTACAGCTTTTCAACAAAACCCAACTTTTAGATCAAAAAGCATCCAACTGTTCTCTATGTCTGTGATTGAGTATTTTAACCTCCTCTTTCAGAAGGGACAATCCAGCCCTCTTCCATCATGATGTAAAAAGGGAGAAAAACCCACTACACACAGACAAACACACACATGATGAGCTGGGAATGAAAAAGCTTTTATTTATTTTTGCTAGGTCTGGCTTAAGGTACATTTACCACATTAAGAAAAGGATACAATCCTGAAGGCGATGACAGGAAGAATTGTAAAGCAGCACAGACCTGCCTGTAAGGTGACCATCGAGACAGCACACCACCCAGGTGCCTTCACACCACAGCCTGGACTCAGTGTCCCTGCCCGGCAGCACTGCAAGTTCAGCACAGGTGCCGGTTCCCCGTGCCTCTTCCCCGTGCCTCTTCATCCACGACACAGTAGTTTCCTTGGGGACAGAACAGGGCCACAGGCTGTGTGCACAGCTGCCTGCTTTGGAGACCACTCCTTATAAAACTGGGTCAACATAGTCCTCAAATGCACAGGACCTGGGAAATGGATTGATTAAAGCTTTTGTCTAGTTGGGTTTGTTTCCTTGATTTTGCCTTATTTTGACTGTCATTCCTTTTATAAATAGTTTATATTTTAAACATGGCTTGCTTGTACATATACATATTTGAACAGTGTAGTTTAATGGCTCTTAAGGCAACTTCATGTGCATACAACACTTAGAGAAGGAAATAGGAATCTTCCAAGGGGCTGGTCCAGATTTCCGACATCCTTTTTCTGAAATTGACCCCCTCTTGTTGCAAACATCTCTTCCTTGATTTCATTAGAGTTCATCTCTTAAGTACGCCTCCCCTCATGCTACCAATATTTAAGTACTGCTTGTTCCTAGAAAACACAAGATAGTTGTCTTTTACTTTTGGCTTCCTTGCCTTAACACCTGCAAGATTCATCCTCACTCTGGCATTAGTTGTCTGATGTCCGTTTACACCTGGTGAGCCAGTGAATGAGGGAAGTAAAGGAACTAGGCACAAAATAATGTGACATATGCATGTACTGTACCACAAAATAAGAGCAGACGGGGCTCCTCTTCACATAGGGAGAACCACACAGGTCTCACAGGCAGGATTGAAGGCAAGACCCAGAGAGAAGGTTGAACTGATGTTCGAAGTAGTCCTGGGAACTCTTGGTACAGACAGAGTCATGGTCTGCTATTGGCAGGAGGGAGGCAGAGGCAGGTTAGAAGCTGAAGGACAAAACTTGGAATGGCTACATCAGGTATAACTAGGCATAGATGAATAAAGGACCTTATCCTTGGTGAAGAACCACATAAGTAGTAGCTTTTCAGACCTTGGCTTCTTCAGATGTTTATGGATTCAGAAGACAAAGAGATAAATAACTCTTACTTCTTTACCTAGACTTCTAAAGTGTTTCCTGGCTTGATGTGGGTAATCATGGTAGGAGCCAATTGTTGAAAATCCTAGGGACCTCTTCCTTTGGTTCAGACATGTGTCTCACTGGGAATACTTGAATTCTTTTGTCTCCTTAGACGCATCCAACCCAGACAGCCTTCTTGTCGAGTGTGGATGTACACACACATTTTTCCTACCAGATGATGCTGCCAGAATCAATTGCAGTGGTCTGCTCACCCAAATATAAGCAGTGAGTATGTCTGAATCAAGCCTGGAAGGTACAAGTGCAAAATCCTATATGGCTGAGAACACTTTAAATACTAAGTAATATCCAGAGGGTCTTAAGTGATTGCTCTAGAAGCATTCCTTTAAGGAGCACATTCTTATTCAAAACAGTTGCTGTCCTCAAAAACCAGAGGTTGAAAAAGACCATAACAGACACTTCATAAGAGTGTCATCCTGTATCATTCCCAATGTCTTGTTAGTGTGAATTCTTCAGCAGAACTAGTGTTAGGAAAGCAACACATCATCCTGCTTTCCTTGGAATAAAATTTGTAGCCTAGAAAGTGTCCCACGGGGACTAGTAATCTCATGTTTTAGCACAACCCCCGCTTGATCCTCACAATGTTTGGCCTGAATAGACATAACATCTTCCTTCTCATTTCTATTATTGAGTTCCTTTGTTTCATGAAGTCATTCTAGTTGAAAGAGATCAAGAGAGAGAAAGACAGAAAGAGACATATACATAAAGGGGTAAGAAGAAGGAGAGGGATGATGAGGAGGCCAAAGAGAGGAAGAGGAGTAGAAGAAATAAGAGAGCAGGTGGGAGGTGGATTGGAACTATGACAAAGAAGACAAGTTCTAACACAAACAATGACAGTGATCACTAAGAATAGAAGGAGGACTTCCACATCATTTATGAGGGAGGAAGAATTGTGCAGAGAACAGGAGAGACGGGGGAGAGGAGGGGAAAGGTATTGAGAAGTGAAAGATAAAGGAGAGAGATCATAGGAGAGGAAAAGAGAGGAAGTAAAGAAAGGGAAAAGAGGAGAAAGGAGGAGAGAAAGGTGTAGGGTAGAGAGAGAAAGAAGACGTGAGGGATATCTGATTGACTGTGATGTTGCCTTTTCTCATTTCAGAACTGGAATTTTTACACTGACACCTTTTGGATTGAATGAAATATCAATCTGCTCCCAGAGGGGTTTCCATCCCCATAATCAGGACTCAGCTATATTCTGTGTACGTATCTGTGAACAAGAAATCGAGCCGATGTTCCCAGCCAGTACATAGACCCGAAAAGCTTTATCATCCTTTTTCACCTTCATGGATGTTTGTCATCATCGCACACCTTCCTAGAAATCCATTCTAACCATTGAGCTAGGAAGGAGTTGAAAGTGGATATATGTGTCTTATATTTGAAACAATTTCATTTGTTTTGTTTGAGAATGCTGACAATCCTACCCCTTTTCCTGATGTCTGGAGATACTAATACTATGCACTTTCCAGACTGTTGAGTGGAGAAGGGAAGAAGGACTAGGGTGGACTCAGGGACAGAGGGTGTGCTTAGTAGGTATGATGTCCTAGATACATCCCTAGGAACATGGTGAAAAGAAGTAACTGACAAATCATGGACTCCTTTAGCTTATTCAAGATTTATTACATGTTAATTTGTTCTTCATCATTGTCAGCTACTAAACATAAGTTGGTGATGTGGATGCCAAAGAAAGTTCCAAGTAAATAGGTAAATTAAGCATATTCATCCCAGAGTATTGATTCAAAAGCAGGGTTCTCACGTGCCTAGGGAGATGATTTTTTCTCCAATGTTGTATCTGTGATAATACACTTGGCATGATCAGACCTCAGGGCTTAAGATCAGTATCAGATCAATGACATTCTACCACTTTACTTCAATCAGCCTAGACTTTTCTATTCAGTTTAATTCAGATAAAACTTAGTACAATTGTGTGAAGAAAAGAACCCTGTCCCGTAAAATTTCTGTTAAGAAGCAGGGATACAGTCAAACAGATTCAAGGAAAACTGAGATCTTGGGATCAGTGTGCTAATACCAAGAGTTAGAACTCTGTGTCCGTATGTTTAAGTATAATAAATGTGTATGAGCGTTTGTAAAGAGTTTACATCATACTCCTGATCCTAACAGGAAATTGAGTCCTAATGACATTACAACTGTCTTTTTACAAACATGTATACGCATTTATATTTCATTATGTTTATTTATGCAATTTCATTATGTGGTCTTTTTAAATTAGACCCTGTTTTTATTTTAATTCTGTGTCTCTGGATTTGCACACGTGACTTTAGTGCCTGTCTGTTACAAGAGCTCTTCAGATGCACTAGATCTGGAGTCAAGCAATTGTGCACTGCCTACTTCCCTGCAAGAGCAGTGGGTGTTGTTAAGCACAGCAGCATTCTCCAGCGCCCACTGTGTGGTCTCATGGGTCAAACCAGTGTTTTCACTTGATGTCAGCAAGGACTTTCTAGCAGATGTGTTCAAAAACACATAACACTAAATTGGGATATGTGTAATGCTTATATACTAAGATATTGAAAGATACTGCACACTTTCAAACAAATTATCTGGAACACCAGTTCCCTGTTTCCCAATTGTAAAATCTTCTTCTGTATCTGGCCATGGTGGAACACACATACATCATCAGCTCTTGTTCAGTTGCAGCAAGAGATTACCAATCTGAGGCCATCTGATGTTACGTAAAAAGAGTTTCAGACTGATAAATCCCTGAACGTGTATGCCAAGTGAGCATCCCCTAAAGGCCTATTAGGTCACCTTTGCCATCTGATTCGAATAATGACTCTAAATCTACACTGAACTTTCTGTACTCTTTTAATAAGGAACTATATCTCATTGGAGTATGGAAAATAGAGGGCACCATGGGGAGACACTGACTCTGACCATGAGGAGAACTAGGTTAAGTCTTGGGTGCCAGATATTTTTTAATTATATTTCTAATTTATGTATCTTTATTTTTAAAGGGATGCTTTAAAAAGTTTGCTTCACATGTCAATCCCAGCTCCCCTCCCTCTCCCTCCCCTCCTCAAATGCCCTCCCACAAAACCCCCCTCCCCCATCCCTTAATCCCCACTCCTTTCCCAGGGAGGTTGAGGCCCAACTGGGGGGTATCCATAATCTGTCATTTCTTCTAGGGCAGGGCATTGGACCTCCCTGAAGAGTCCAGGCTAGGAGAGCATCTCTCATTTTGTGATGGGCATCCAAAATTGATTTTCTAGCCAGGGATAAATATTGATCTATTACCCAAGCCCCATCGATTGCCTTGGCCCCCTCACTGGCACCCACATTCAGGGGGTCTGGATCAGTCCCATGCTGGATTCCCAGGGAGCAGTCTGGAGTTCAAGAGCTCCCCCTTGTTCAGGTCAGCTCTTTCTATGGCTTAAAGAAGCCCAGGCTTCAACACTATGATTTTCATTCCTCCCTCTCTGTCAAAGAGTTTTTTGAGTTCAGCTCAATGTTTAGCTGTGGGTATTTGTCTCTGTTTCCATCAGTCATTGGTTGAAGGTTCTGTTACCCAAACTCTCTGGCAGTGGGATTGTAGGCTGACACTCCCCTGATCCATGTCTAAAATCCATATGTGTGTCAGTACATACCATGGTTGTCTTTTGTGACAGATCTTTTGACATTGCTTCTAATGACATCAGGATTTCACCTCTAGGCTGAGAAATATCTGCCTTCTTGGAGCATCTTGAATCAGAGACTTAATACGTGGGATGTGGCTCATTTGAGAGAGTGTTTCTATTTTGATTGCTAGGACCTGGAGTTATTTCTCAGCTCTGCTGAAATCAGCCATGCTAGACTTTGGTTAAAATTGAGCAACTGAGAGACAGAAGCAGAAGGATAATTTCAGGATCCTCCTGGTTATCCTAAGCCTAAGTGTTTTAACCTGGGACATATGAGGCTCTCTTTTGCTGTAATATAAAAAGTGTAAGTTGTTTCCCAACAGTTTTTCAAGCCTTGACCACATTTCCTGTTCTCCAATTGCAGGACTGCAGTCATGTCACCTTTCAAAACAGCAGGGTGACCATCAAGGATTTGCGATGAGTAAACTAAAGCACACACACACCTAAGTGAGAGTGTGTGTGTTTTGTGTGTGTGGTTGTGTGTGTCTGTGTGTGTGTGTTTTGTGTATATGTGAGTGAATGTAGGGTGGTGTATATATTTGTATGTATGTTAAACTTTGTCATATTATATCTGTTATGTATGTTCACTTGTATTTATGTACCACACAATGTGCTCATTCACAGCGCCCAGATGAACTTACCTTTTTATTGCAGGTTTAGCAGTTAGGAAAAAGCATGTATAAAACGGAAGATTGTGACACATAATGGCAAGAGCTCTACAGGATACATCCTGAGTCTAGATGTATGAACCCAAAAAATTCATTTTACTTACAAGGTGAGATGACTGTTTCTACCATGTGAGTAAGAACTTTCTGGAACAATGCACAAGTTGGGAAATGTGATTATTGGAACATCCTGGAAAAAAACCCATAGTTCAGTCTCCACAATACAAAAGAAACATAGTCTTATGTGTGTTTTGGTATGTGACAGTATTTGCAGTTCATAACTGTACATTGAGGGTATAGGTTTGTGTGAGGAGATGCTTGCTTGAGTCAGGAGAGAAAATTCATCAAAGGTGTATCCTACATGAATTGCAATTCTAAGTTATGAATATACATTTCTGTTTCTTGTTTTAGCCTCCTACATTTCTAATGTGACCTGTAGCTAGAAACTCTTTAACTAATGACTTTTCTTAGTTAAAACTGATTATATGGAAGCTTTGACACGAAAAGGGGAAGTGTATTACCTGAGAAAGAAAAGTACAAAACACAAATTTTTAAATTTTCTCATATTAGAAATCATTTACAGATTATATACACTGTACAAAAAGGAATAAGACAAAGGGATCACGTAATTTATGTCAAGAAGGTATAATATTATATCTAAGAACATGTTGGGATTTCAAATTTGATAAAGATTCCTTCCATTGAATTGTAGAAACTCATTGTCAGAAAAGATTTGAACATGAATGGTGGCCCCTGGTTTCCCCTTCACGATGACCAGCTGCTTGATAAACTATTTATGCTTAAATCCATTTACCATATCTATCCCTAAGGGAAAGCAAATTTGTTTCCATCACCCAGATATACAATAATCTGGACCAATTTTGTTTTCTGTTCAAATGTCTGATAATGCAATATTTGCCTACATGAAATCTTTCAGTAAATCATCAGTTATATTATTTAGAATTGTAAATATTACACTCATATGGGATATATGTGATTGTTCTTTTCTTTTTAAATTATTCCTATGACGTATGAAAATTTTAGTGACTTAATAAGCAGTTTTTTGTATTTTATATTCATATATTTGGAAGAGCTTTCTAAATGGAATGTTGCCAAATATTAGCCCAGTTATCTTCCCATTCATCTGAATTACAAACCGATATATTTGGCAAGTTTGTATTGTGCATATAAATCTGTACTTTAATTTCATATTACTTTAAGTTTTAATTGTTTGACTATTGTGAAAGGTTGTCACAATTCAAATATTCATAATTCACTCTTTTTTAGTGTATCTCCTCTTCTAACACAATTTGCATAATTGGAGATCATACAATTAGCACTAAGGAATTAACACACCACTTATTGAATAATAACTACATAATGTGTGAATGATTTCTTCAAATGAGAAGGTAATTATGCAATAATATTTTGCTCCAACTCTACCTGTTTCTTGTTTGAATTTGTATGCATCTGTGGGTTGGAAAGTCTGATTGCATTTGCAGCACAGAGGAAGAAAGCAAAATTAGGTTTGCTATTGCTAGTTAACATAGATTGAGAGTGCTCAAACTCTAAGTCACATTTGTAGGATTTAGCCAATATTAATTCATAGACACAAATCAGTTGGTTAATTCATTAATGGGCACAAGTAAAGAAAGATTCCTTCGTGATTTCTGAGCAAGAATGCTTACCCTCAGTATTTAGAGACTACAACTTCAGCAAGTTTAGTTATCCGCTGGGCAGTTGTGTTTTCATCTTTAAATTGGGAATAACCTCTGGGTGATTAGGTGTTATAACAGTAGATACTATATCATAAAATTTACTATTATCAGTCTTTAATATTCCCCAAGGCCCATATCTACATTTGTTATGTATTGGGAGATCATTGTTTCTCAGATCTCAATTAATGAAAATGACATTGGAGTTCCTTGTAGGAAATCATGAGCAGAAAGCAGAAGTCCTCTGGATTGAGCAATGGATGTGGAACATATGTAGAACTTCAAGATGTGTCTAGATGAGATCTATCCATGCTCATTATTCTCTTCAGCCTGGTGCACTCTCAACTTTACATTAGTTCAAGTGAGATTTGATTATTCACATTTACAAAATAGTGTTACATTAAGTATTAATACTTACCCTAATTGTAAGCATTTTAACAACTATGCAGTGAAAATCACATGCCCCTGAGCAAATTGGGAGCATGAGGAAGATTAGAGGGAGGTAAGAGAAAGAAGAGGGAAGAAGGGAGGAGGAGAACATGAGGAATCAGGAAGATTGTGTTGGGGGAAGAATAGAGTAGGAGAGCAAGAAGAGAGATACCTAAATAATGTGAGCCATTATAGGTTTAAAGAGAAATCTTGCACTAGGGAAGTATTCGGAGATCCATAAGGATGACCCCAACTAAGAATCTAAGCAAAAGAGGAGAGGCTGCCTTAAGAGACCTTCCTCTATAATGAGATTGGTGACTATCTTAAATGCCATTCTAGAGCCTTCATCCAGTAGCTGATGCGTTTAGAAGCAGAGAATCACAGCTAAGCACTGAGCAGAACTCCTGGAATCCAGTTGTAGAAAGGGCAAGACCATGCACGGAAAACCCACAGACACAGCTGACCTGAGCAAGTGGAAGTTAACAGACCCCAGGCTGACAGCTGAGGCACCAGCATAAGACCCAACAAGGCCTCCTGAATGTGGGTATCAGTTGGGAGTCCTGGGCAGTCTATAGCACCACTGGCAATGTATCCAGAATTTATTCCTAGTGCACAAATGGGCTTTGGAAGCGCATTGCCTATGATGGGACACTCTCTCAGCATAGACACATAGAGGAATGCCTAAGTGCTGTCCCAAATGATGTGACAGATGTTGATGATCCCTTAAGGACACTTCACCCTCCCTGGGAGTGGATAGGGGTGGGAAGGCAGGGTCAGTGGGTACCAAGTGAGAATGGGAGTGAGGGGACTAATAATGGTATGTAAAATGAGATTGTTATAATTTAAAATATATTTTTTCAAAATGACCAAAAAAAGAAAGAAAATGGCACTGCTCATTCACCTTAGGCTTCACACATTTATCTGATTACACTAATAAATGTGAACCTCAGCTGTTCTATTTTACAGTGGAAAAACTAGGTTAACCATTGGTGTGAAAGGCTGAGAACCTGATTTGAAACCCGTGACTAAAACTATAAGTAAGGTAACATTCTCCATTTGTGCATTCCTGTTTTATAAGTAGTCACACTCTAGTTTTACATTAAGAAGTTTAATGTTTCTTCAAAAATATTCATTATCAACACTTATGAGAGAGAGAATATGAATCAGATAAAAGCAGAAAACGCCATTCTGTATTGGGCTAAAGTTATTTCTCAGTTGTTAAACCAGTTGTGTCTCTTGTAGAAGACCTGGGTTCAGTTCTCAGCACCAACATGGTAACTCCCGACTACCAATGACTCCAGCTCCAGGAAATTCCACACCTTTTCTGGCCAACGGGGGAACTGCATATACACACATCTATATAATAAGAATAAAAATCCTTCAGGATAATGGACATTCATCTCATTAATGAATCACTTATACTCAGTAAATATTATTTTAATTATTTAATTATTTTATACTAATATTTGTATAATGATTGTCACATTGAATGTGACTTTCCTTAGGATCCTTCATTGTACACAAAAAGACAGATCATTATGGAAGGATTCTTACTTAGACCACTTTTCTCTGTCTCAAGTTCATAATAAGCTAGATTGCATTTTGCAAACTCAATTTGTGCTTTTACTCTCATATTATATAGCTATGTGAAGCTCCTATAAAAGTCTTATTTTCATAAAAATTCAAAAGGATTTCATTGTGACTATAAAGATTGATTTCTAGGTTATATTGAAGCTCCTGAATTCTATATCAATGAAAAAAAAATGCTAAGGCTCTATAATTCTGTTAAAATATACAATATTGGAAATATAATTTCTGTGACATTGCAGTAATATATTTAATCGGTTGGGGTTTTATCTGCTGATGTTTCAGCTTTGCCAAATTATGTGACAATAGGATTCTAATATGTTGCTTTGTTATCTTATTTCTACTCTTTTATGTTGATAGGATATTCACTGTGATCTTAGAATATATCATATTGTATATTTTAGTATTGAGTAGAATAAAAGACAGAGTGGAGTATGTTGCTCAGTAGGAGGAGTATTTACTCAATATTTCTGAGACTAGATTTATTAGGAAATTTATCTGAAAACATGCCAAAATATTTGAATTACCTGTGGCTTTGTTGTCGGTAGTAAGAATTTTCTTTATATTTGTTGTGATATAGTCTCACCATGTAACCCAGATTGACCTCAAAGTTCTGATGTGTTCATCTCCTTCTCTTGATATAAGTAGTTGCACACATTTGCATATGTGTAAAACTATGCCAACAGTAAATTTTTCATGATGTTGCAGTGAAAGAATTAATAAACCAAACTTCCTGAGTCACCGTTTCTCCACTGCATTTAAAGTATGTGTTTTGGAAAATTCAGGTCTGTATTTGACATGACTTTGTCACCAGCACTTGCTTATTGGAACCAAATTATATGGTGATTAAGGGGCACAAGAATAAATAATAAGGTATAATGATAGTAGATTTATTTTCTCACTTCCAGGCTCACAACTGACAACTTGACTTTGATACTTCTCAGTGGACATTGTCTGAGAATCTTGTTTAATAACAGCTTGACTAGGAGTTTCTTGGTTGAAGGAACGTAAGCTTGTTGCTTACATTTCTCACTGTTGTCACAAACCCATGGCCAAATCAGTAGAAAGCGATTCATTTGAATCACAATATACTGATAGTATAAAAAGAAACCAGCAAGTGGTGAGTGATGCAGAAGCCAATCACTGACCAAAACAAACAAATAAACAAACAAACAAAAAACCGCCAAAAACCAGTGCTGTTAGCGAATTGTACCCTAAATGGGATGGCTATCTCAAACTTCTGAGATTCAGAAAACAATTTAGAAGGTTGTCAGGACATACATAAGAGCTGAGACTGTGGAGAATGCCAGCAGCAACAACACACATTTTTGATTATGACATAGCAAATGTGACCTACACAAGACCTGTTCAGGACTGACCTTGTCAACATTCATTGTGGATGATACAGGACCCCTAGGCCTACTCCTACATGAGGCATAATTGGCTGTTAATGGTTGCTCAGGAATGGGTGATGTTTGTTTTAATGGTGCAGCCCTTACAAATTGCCCTTTTCCCAGTATATGCCATCCTGCAAACACTTAGACAAGAAACTAGAACTTAACTTTCCAAGTTATATATTAGAAAAGGCATGACAGCAGAAATGGATGATGGTTTCAGCAAGAGGGAGAAGAATGAGAGAGGCAAGTAGGAATAATTTCTAAATTTTATTATATGTCTGAAATTATTACACAAAAAAGAAGAATGAAGAGAGGAAAGAAGGAAGGGAACACGGAAGAAAAAAAGGGGAGGGAGGAAGTAAAAAATAGTGGACCAAAGCAAGAAGGCCAAAGCATTACAGACACTTTTCTTTGTATAAAGGTCACGAACCAGATGCTGTTGGAACCAGAGGGGCAATCCTGGACATAACATGCAAAGAAGATGGATACTGTCAGCTGATGTAGCCAGGAGGACCAGCCAGAAAGAGTAGATGGATTCAGATAGCTCATGGAACCAGAATGACCAGCAATGTAGAGAAAAACTGATCCATGAATACAGTGGAATCTGGAGGACCAGCCATGCCTCATTTTCAGGGAGGCAGATATATAGAACTGTTTAGTTTAGAGGTTTCCCAGACAGTCTTCCTCTTGTGATCCAGATCTTCATTTTGACCACGCATCCCTGGATGAGATTCATCACACTAAGGAATTCAGTGGCCTCACCTTACCTTATTTTTGTACTTTATTTTCCCCTTGCGTTAAAGCTCTGGTTTTATTATGTTCTCATCTTAGAAGAGCCAAAAATAATCTGGTTTTTGCCTAATTGCCTATATGATTTAGAATTTTCATTTTCTCTTTATTTTATTTTTGTTTTAGTCTAAAATATCTCCATCATCTTTGTTGCCCCCTCTCCCTAGGTGCTGAGAATATTTATGTGTTTATGTATCTATAATCTTGTGTGTGTATGTGTGTGTGTTTGTGTGTCCCACCACACCTGAAACTCTCAGCCTTACTTAAACTGCTCCTTCTCTTTTCTTTACTGAATTCCAATTTGGATAGTCTATGACACATCTTCCAGTGGTAATTTTATAGGAAAATATTTACAACACATCAAGAAAATTAGTTTTCATATATTAATCGCACTTTTTCATTTAGAAAAGTAGCAGGTTTGTAGGACATGTGATTTTCCTGACAACCCAACTTCAATATCCCAGCCCATGTTCTGATTGACCTCTACTTCAGATCTCCATGGAGTGAAGAGACACAGTCTCATGCCCCAGCTCTTACTGCAGTGCCTTCCTCTCTGTGCTGGACTTAAATTCCTTGAAACCCTGAGACCAGACCAATCTACACTTCTCCCTTGGGAGGTTTCTGTACGATGTTTCTATCATAATGACCTATATTCATTATTAGTGAGCCTAAGATTTTCACATTTCTTGACATCATTTAGTCTTTTTTCCCCTTCAAATGTTTCTTTCCAATATGACTGTTTGGTTACTTCCTGCTTTCAAAATTTTGTATTCTTTGTCTGATTCTGTGTCTGGACTATCCACATTTCTAGCATTTTTCCTACAGTTTATTTTCATACTTTTGTAGGGTTACTACTCAGAGAAAATATTACATGACAACAGTAAAAGGTACACTAGATTTGTGTTAATGAGATACAATTGCATCCCATATCTGTCATGGAGACATTTTCCTGTTTAATGGACAGTCATTACTTTTTCAAATGAGGACCCTCAGAGTACATATGGATCAAGTATCAGAGCCACATACCGAAGGAGGCTTTCTGCCTGGTTAATATACATCCACTTACACAGTGGCGGAAAGGGAAATCTCCTAGGAGATATTTCTTGACTTTTATATTTCAAACTACATGTGCATCAATGTCAGAACACCACCTGTACGATGAGCACCCACTTGGCAGTAGTTATGGAACAGGACAGTAAGAACTGCCTTCCATGAGACTTTCTTCTTAACCACATCATGCTTACTTTGATACACTCCCAGTGACATATTTATAACCTGATTTTCCTTCTCCTATATATCTGTTATTTTTGAACATTTACTCTATAGGAATTTACTCTCTAGAATTCTAAATATAAAATTGTAGTTCAATGTTTTCACTCTGCAGTATTTATCTTTGCCTCTTTTGGGATTATGACACCCAGCACCCAAATAAATCACACAAAAAGGAATTTTCTTTCTTACAAATGTCTAGCCTTATCTTGACTTTTTACTAGCCAGGTTTTTCCTCTTTTCCTTTTTCTGTCTTTTCTTGGTTTTTCAAGACAGTGTTTCTGGTTTTGGAGGTTGTCTTCGCCTCACAGAGATCTGCCTCCCTCTGCCTCCCATGTGATGTAATTAGAGGCATGCACCTCCACCACCAGGCTCTATCAAGCTTTTACTAATTTAAAACATTCCATCTATCTTTTGCCTCTGGTGTTTTATCTTTCTCTATTTTTGTAAACCTTTTTTGCTTCTTTCACTTTGGCTTGCTCTGTGTCTGTGTGGCTGGTCCCTGGTGTCTTCTTCTCCTTCCTCCTCCTCCTTTCTATCCTTCCAAATTTCACCTATTTAATCTGTCTGCCTGTCAGCCTTTGCCTATCCTTTATTGCCAACATATTGTCTCATTAATCTCTTTATTAGAGCACTAAGGTGCTTTACACAGGAAAAGTAAACACAGCTTCACTGAATTTAACAAATGCAACATAAAACAATGCATCACATTTTTGCATCAATAAACTAATGTTCTACAGCATAAACAAATGTAACACATATTAAAAATAGTCTACTATATAAAATTATATTGAATCCCAAATTATGGCATGTAGGAGTATCATTATTCTTTTATAAGATAAATTAGAGAAGTTAAAAGGAAAGAATTTGGACTACAATATAAACAACTAATTCTGAGAATCCAGAGTGACATTACTGCTTACCTGAATCTAATTTAAACACCTTCCGTGGCTGTGCATCTGCTTCCATCAGCAGGGCAGTGTGAGCTGTAACATCTACCAGTCAGTAACATTCATTACTACCCTGAGTGTATTATCTCCTTAGCAGTAAGATGACAGCACCTGTCCTCTCAATAATGTAGCTTAACCAGTGCAGGAACACAACTTCATGCACATGAAAATATACTCACGTAGACCTCGTACATTATTTCCACTGCTCAAAGCATACATGACTATCCACTCACAAACTTCCCTTTACATGACCTCATGCTTGAGAATCCTGTCCTTAAATAAGACCATCATACAATGGCTTCTGAGGTTTAAGCATTTCTGCTGGGATAGCCCAAACTAAAACATTGCTTATGCAAATGTCTTAAATTATTTTTCTTATTTATTGATATGTTCATCGATATACATTATAGTTAACTGTAGGCCTTTGAGTAATGATTACAGCTTGCTTTCTTTTAGGCTGACATGTCCTCTACTCCCTCATGCTACTGTGACTGCCAAGCTGACATCTAGTGTTTGCTGGAGCTAGTGGTGTCCTTAGATGCAAAGATGTGACAATTTCTATTTGCCTCCAGGTTTTGGGACTTATTCACAATTTTACCTAAAATTATTAAATCAAGACCACATTTCTGCCCCCTAAAAGAATATGATTCCAGTAGATTCATAGTACAGTTCTTGACAGCCCTAGCACATTATATGTTCACAAATGACCATTAGAAAATGCACGCCTCGCCGGGCAGTGGTGGCACACGCCTTTAATCCCAGCACTCGGGAGGCAGAGGCAGGTGGATCTCTGTGAGTTCAAGGCTGGGCTGGACCAATAGCCTCCAAAACAATGCAGAGAAACCTGTCTTGTAAAAACCAAAAAAAAAAAAAAAATGCACGCCTCTGTCTTATGCATTGGAGTAAATCATGACTAAACTTAATTTCTTATTACCATTGAGACCTTCAGGTTTTTCTTCTCTATTCCTCCCTTTTTCTTTCAATCCTCCCATGCTTCCTTTCCTGTACCATTCTTCAATTCCCTCCATCTCCTTCCTTCTCTACCCCTTCCTTACTCAGTCTCTTTTTTGGTCTATAAAAGATTCTTTGCTACTTGAAACTCTACTTTAACTCGAAGCAATAACTCAATAGCCCAGAAATGTAACCTCACCACATTGCTGGTACAATGGAAGAAGCTAAAATGATTTCTTTAATTACCAATTTTTAGTGAATAGCAAATGTTTGCAGAAATATGTGTCATATTCAATATAACAATGAAAAATAACTCATTCAAGAATGAGAATCTATAGAGATCACACATTCAACCATCATCTGTCCTGATTTGATGCTCCTAGTCTGGTCAGGCAACACTCTGATCTCAGTTCCTCTCCTCACATTCCTTGTATATTCATGTCATCTGGAATCCTTGATATAAAGAAGTATTGTGTAGGCTAAAGAGGATTTTCATGTGCTGAGTGTCCAGTAGAAACTAGTA